TAATTAGATTCTAACATTGCCAAAGAAAGAAAAAAGGAAATAATAAATACTGAAAAGAAGAAGCAATTAGCAAGCTGGGAATAATGACTGTACTTAAGACAAATGACAAATGATTAGATTAATTAATTAAATGCCTGATTATTAATTAAGAGCATCTGAAACTCTACTAAACCATCAGAATAAAGCATTGAAAAGGAAAAGCATTGGGAACCCATTTTTTGTGGCATTGAGCAGCAAAGAATAATCGAAAAAAACTATTCTTCGACTTTTACTTTGAGTTACGATTCTCATATTAAATTCCAATATTCCTCAGGAATCTGATCGCTTTAGAAAATTAGATTCCCCCTCCTTTTCTTCACAAGGAATACAATTCCAATCCGTGGTCATTTCTAGCTTTCATCGGCCAATAGGATCGCGTGTGGTCAACCGCCCCCCGGGCCAATCAGGAAGCTACATGAGTTAAGTTGTTGTAGCTAATGATTGAAATTGCCCCCACAAATTTGATGATTGAAACTAACTATATGCAATCAAAATAAAAAGGAAAGTTTTTAAGTACAATAAAGAATAACCTGCAGCCCCCATGCTCATGCTGTTAATTATCTCTTCTTCAAAAATAGAAAAAAGAAAATATATATATTAAGCATGCATGCATGCATGTCACACACACATACACATACATAAATACTTCTTACATGTTTTATTATTACATGTTTAGTACTTTTCTACCTTTTAAGTAAGCTTAGATTATATCTGTCGTCTTAGAACGTAGATTAACTTCGTTTTTCTGCGTATCCAATGCATGTTACTCGATCCAGTAGTATCAATTGAAGTTACTAAAAAAAATTAAAATCACACTGCATGCATATATATATATATGTATATATATATATATACACACACACACATATATCAGTTAGTTCCTAGCTATCCAAATGACAGCACTATTTTGAGGAATTTTCTGCTTTCTTAACTTTTATGCAAAGGTGTTCTCCAGATTCCTCCAAACTGCATAAAATATCCAAAAACATATCAGAATTAAATTATGTTTGTAATGAGAAAGATTAATGTAATAATTTCGATTTACAATGGCAATTCTATTAATTTTTTTAGTTTCTAGCTAATAATTTCGATATATTCATGCACATATTATTAACCTTATTTCAAGACGAATATATACGACATAAAATGAACAGCTCAAAACATTATTTTTTCTTCTTCCTTAGCTTCTTCTGAATATGTATCTAGTGCTAATTAGACGTGCATTAAGTCGAGAGACTTTTCACGGTGAAAACAAGAAAAACGACATTTTCCGGAAACATCATCGATAGTGGATTCCTCCAATCCACATTCAAGGAATTCCGCAAATTCAATTCCCAGGAATAGGGTTCTTATAACTTTTAGCAGACGACAAATATCAGTGCACCGAAAAGAAAGAAAAACTGATGAAGGTGGATCTATTCTTGTAGTACCCCATCCTAAGGTGTCGATTTTATTTCCAAAGAAAATCGCTGTCTGACAATCGAAAGTGAAGTTAATTACGAGAGCCGAGAGCGGACCCCACCGATGCGCGAAAAATGGAAGGACAAGATCTCTTTAATTTCCATAGCTAGTAATTAAATTGATGGGATTGAATCTCATGTTCTGTTAGCCCCTGTTCAAGATTCTATGCCTTACTTGTATTCTATTCCCACCTTTCCACCCCCCACCCCCACCCCCCCCCCCTCTCTCTCTCTCTCTCTCTCTCTCTCTCTCTCTCTCTCTCTCTCTCTC